AGTGGAGGCAGGTGGCAAATCTGCTCCTGGCAGCTGCTAGGGCTACACACACATGTTCCACCACCAACCTGTACAGCAGCGCCTGCTCAGCCTTGGTCCAGTTAAGCTGACGGTGACCATCGCTGCTACCAGATGTTGGCGTGGACATGCCACCCACACACTGGAAAATGCAGAGGTGGGGCAAGGCACAATGGGAAGCCACAGCTCCCCCAGCCTCACCCCACCTCCCCATTCCCATGGTGGGCATCAGTCACCAGAAAGAGGCTCTGCATGCAGAGGAACTATTTGTGAGAACAGGGGGTAGGTATGGGGGTTGGGGCCAACACATCTAGAAAGCTGTCTACACAGCTTCCTGGATGCCATACTGGCTTACAGGAGCATGTGTATATTTCCCCACCAAGTTCTTGAGTAGCGTCCATGATGCCCAGATGTTTGCTCAACTGACCTCAAATGCCTGTTGGCTGCCTGGCCAGAAGCAAAAGGATGGCTCCTGGGCCAGTAGTGTGGGAAAGGTGGGGGGCTACGCTCAGCAAGCAGGAGGCATCACTCCTGATGGATCCCATTCTATCCCATCCAGGTGACCACAGATACCCCCTACTCCTATATTTGCTGACAGTGTATCCTAAAGATGATCCACTACACTGTGCAGCCTACAACCAAGCCCACCACCAAACACACATGAGCAGACATTTGGGCAGCTGAAGATGCAGTTCCATTGCCTCCACTGTATGGGAAGGCATCCGGCCATGCAGCCCTGGCAGTGGTTAACTTATTCACTATCTGTGCAATGCTTCACAACATGGCCATGTGCCAATGGCTAATGCCTCCCCTTGAAGGGGGCATGTTTGAGGGTCCTTGGGACGGGGTGGCAATGTTCCCTCCAAGCTGTGGAGTCTTGTGAGCAAAAATTCCGCTTTGTGAGCTACTGGCATTAAAGTTGTGAGCAAGTGATTCGGCTGCTGCATAAATTAGTTTGCTCTGGAGCCATCCTTCCTGAGCTGAGACAGAAATGTGTGAGCCAGAGGCTGAAAAACTGTGAGCTAGCTCACACTAACTCAGCTTAGAGGGAACACTGGACGGGGGACAGGACAAAGAGCAGTAAGTGGAGGCAGTGACAAGGCAGAATGTCAGGGGCCACATAGGAAGGGGAGTGGGTCCAGGAACACATCTGGTGCAGGAGGCACCCTGCCCTCCAGGTTGCCTTTTGGGGCGTTGGGAGGGGCGTGTGCCTGGCATGGATTGAGTGTGGCCCCACTGTCCTCCTTCCATTGGCTGCAGTTCTTCACCGGCCTAAAGCTCCAACCTTCCTCTGTTCCGATCGAGGTACCTTGCCACACTCACAGTGGTGGGGCTCATGCCCCATTTGCAGGGGGAGATTTTATGGTGAATGCCCGCCCCAATGAATGGCCCTTCAGTGTGCAACCCATGCAGCCTGGCCACAGGCTCATGGGCAAGGGAGTAATGACAGCACAAGCTGCTTCAGTGGGCATGCAGCCACAGAGGCCCCTATGCATCCAAAAGCTATTCCAAGTCAACTGGTGCAGTGGGGCACAGGAAATGGCCATTGGGGCGCAGCTTGGCATTGCAGGTCCACAGCCGGGCCCCTAATGGAGCTCGGCAGTGGAGCTGCAAGGCCGGAGGTGGCGGCCGGGACCGTTGGGGGCTGGGTGTGTGGCCTTATGACACATTTCCGGTGATGTCAGGGGGTGTGGCCTTATGACACACTTCCGGTGATGTCAGGGGGTGTGGCATATGCTAATGAGTTATGCTAATGAGTTCCCCTAGCTCTTTTTCTATGAAATGACCCCTGCGTAAAGCCCTGGCAAATTGTGCAAGTGACCACATTATGTGATTCTCCCAAACATATGAGACAAAACTCGTGCTCATCACTGAGGGTCATTTTGGTCACACATTTTGTGCACTTCTTGAAAAGCGCCTTGAATGCCATACTGGGCACCACAAGTGGCAGAAGTGGGGGGGGGGACAAGCCGATGAGAGTCACCTCACCGCAGACAAATGATCCCTCGCAGAGAGAAGAAAAACTCTGTAGAAAAAAAGAGAGGAAACTGAAGCCAGAAGGGAAGAACCCTCAGAGAAGGAGAAAAAACACCAGTCCAGTAAGAATGAAGACTGAAAAAAGCACAGCTAAGCTGGAAAGCTCCTATCCACAGGGTGGCAAAAAAGGAACTGAGGGGAAAGAGGGTGCCCGCCTTGGAGCACGTGACAGTATAGGCAGGAAAAGTCTTTGTGCATGGGCTCTAGAGAGGTAGGGGTGCCCCCTCAGATATCTTTTAGGTGGAAAAATCTTGTCCATGGCTGGCCTGCACAGAGCAGTCCCAATGTGGGGGTGCACTGAAGACAGAAGATGAAAAGTTAGAGTTAAGACGTTGAGCTGCAGACCAGAAGGTCTGTAGCTCAGCAGTTTGAGACCCTAGTGCCGCGTGACAGAGTGAGCTCCCTTTCTGACCCCAGCTCCTGCCAACCTAGCAGTTTGAAAGCAAGAAACTGCAAGTAGATAAATAGGTACCGCTTCGGTGGGACGGTAACAGCGTTCCGTGAGCCTCAGTGTTTAGTCATGCCGGCCACATGACCGCGGAGAAGTCTTCAGACAGCGTTGGGTCTTTGGCTTGGAAACGGAGATGAGCACCACCACCTAGAATCGGATTCGACTAGCCTTCGAGCAAGGGAACCTTTACCTTTTTATCTACCGCTTTAGAGACTTCTTCAGTCTCCCAGATAAACTAATCTGTGAAAACTCTTGGAGATGACAAAGGAGGGAGAGAAACCAATTCTATTTTGTAGCCTTCTCTTACTATGGATAGGGTCCATAGATTTCATCCTTGTGTCTTTCCCTGACCATTCGCTTTCTTTTTTCTGAATCCCCCCGCATACATTCTAGGATTGAGGAGGCCTCCCCTAACTCTGAATCCAGCAAGGACAGATTTTGGGGGCCCTTTTTGAGCTATTTAGCAGTTCACACATGTGTGAGGTTTTATCGCCACCCAGATTAGAAGAGTGGAGTCTGGTATGTTTGGTCCTTCTAGGGGGCCTTGTTCATTGTGGGTGATTGCGGGGAGTCTGCAGATGATGACACAGATGACTCTGGGGGTGATGTAGAAGCCTTCCTGCACTGAAATCTTCTGCTCTGTCTTTCCCTCTCTAAACCTGCTGTCATCTGTGTGTGGCCCGCATGTGGCCACGAAGGGAGGGGGTAGCCTGGCCGAGGAATAGAGGCTTGGTTCCTGAAGGGGGCTCCTCAGGCAGGCAGCATAGGCCCGGATGACCTAAGGGCCTGGAACCACCTGTTAGAGAATAAGCTTGATATTTGCTTTATGGACTATTTATTGCTACACACAATGGACTGTGCACACACACATAGGCTCAGAAAGCTGTACACTTTAAGTCACCTGTTGTGATGCCACACATAGAAGGTGCCTGCACACCCCTTACATGTAAATAAGGTTTCAGCTACACAGTTACCCAGCCTGGTGAAGAAGCACAAACCTCCATTATTGTGAGCAATGGAACAACCACCTCAGGAGGAGACAGCCCCCATGGCAGAGCTTCTTGTAGTCACGCACTACCCATCGCCTGCTTTGTTCCTGAACAGGTATTTCCTGCCATATGGACATTTGGTTATCAAAGAGACTGGACAGCTTCATCAGCACTACAATGGAGCATCCTGACACCTAGGTTTCACACCTGTCCAGATGCCATACTTTGAGTAAGGTTTTAGGCTACAATATTGGCCACCCCTCTTAAGTAACCTCCCCTTCCCACATGCAACCAATAGGATTGTTTTTGGGATGGACTAACAGGTAGGTGGGTCAAGAGGTTGGCACAGTTACCACCCATCTCTTGGACCCCCTATAAAAGGAGAGAACCAGTCACCTGGCCCCTCCTACTTGATCAACTAGCATCCCCCCAAGATGACCTCTGTCTGCTTTTACCCCTCTTAAGTCCCCCTTGCTATCCCCAACCCTTGCCTCTACTTTGATCTCTTGATCTGCAGTCAAGAGTCCCCCACACAGTCCGGCTAGTTCTGGTAGTGTGGATCCTTTATTTTCCATTTCTTCCCATCCATTCTTCATTGGAACAACCAAGCTGCAAGACAGATAAGTATCGCCCACCATCACCCCTACCTGCTAATGCAAAAGTGCTTATTTCTTACTGTAAATCTTAGAAACTTGATTGAATGTGTGAGTGCATCAGTATTGTTTGTATGAGATACATTTTAAAGTAAAAGACATCTATTTTAACCACAACAGCCTCGAATCCTTTACTGGTAACCCTTGGTGGGAACAGGACCTTGGTATAAACTGGCAACAACCCATTTATAAATTGCCAATTGCTGTAAATAAAGCAATTCGGCTAACAACCTGACTTTCCGAATGCCGAATTTGGGGGGGGGGGGTGTTTGGTATAGCCTGAGGTGAATAACTTCTGCTCTCTCAATGCCCCATAACTTTACAGGGACCTGGCCAGTTAGATTAGTTCCAGTCCCTGCCCTGAGGGTTGGGTACCTCTCCTTGGGAGTCTTCCGGTCTCTTCCCCACTCTCTGTAGAGTTGCTGCATCCAAGGAAAGAGAGCAGCAATTGCCATGGCCCACTGGATTGGCTGGCACTGTTTTCCGACCTGTGGTTGATTCCTCCATAGCTATTAGTGGGGGGGGGACCCAAAGCTTTGAGTTTTCCTGCCCCCACACTGTTTGATATTTACTTGTGCCTGTTGCCCATATTCTGCTTCCCTAAGAACAGGATCCCGAAGAACTATAGTGCAGTACAACAGTGCAGAAAAACAAACATTAGTCAATGATTGATTTTTCACTGTTTAATAGACTCACAATTGCTTTTTATTTCATCATTGCAAAAAAAAATACAGTTGTATAGATTATTTTTATTTCACTGATATCTAAGAGAAGATGGCTAGCTCTGTGAATGAAGCTCAGTATCCTACGCATTTAGTCATAGGCACTATTTGCTACAGCATGAGATAGCCTTGAACAAAAAAAAATATCTTAAATTGGAAAAAGGTGTAGAATCAAGTAACATTAAATACACAGAATTCTGAGGTACAATAAAATAATGACAAAAGGCCAGTCCCCCCCTCCCCCCGGAATGCTACTTGAACATACTGCAGAGATTTTCAGCAAGCCTGCTTCAGCAAGCTTGAGATGGCAAAAGCCTAGAATGTGAAATACTCCAACTTGTCTGGAAAATCCATCCATCTTGCTCCGCAGTGATTAGTGAGCGACTCCGATTGCCTTGCTTAAAGACTGTGCATCGCTACTATTCTTGTTTACCATGGTTAAGCGCCAGCAGGAACACAAACATAATGTCTTTTAAGATGCAATGTCTTTTAAGATGCAAGGCCCAACAAGAAGCCTCCAACAAACCCGCCAGAAACCACTATGTTCTGTTTAATAAATTCTGTGGACTGAAAAGGAAACAGAGATTTCTGTAAGCTGGACAAATGCATTAGAAAAAGTATTATTGGATTTAAAAAAAAGACACAGTTGCCAATGTTATACAGTAGTGTACAAGAGAATATGGTTCTATTGAAGCCACATCAGCTTTTAAATATAAGTTTACCTTAGTCCATTTTGATATGGTTTTGGTTGGTGTCTAGTATGTCATTGCAAATGTTCACAAGTATCATTGTAACAAAAATAATAAGCCCTTAAATGAAAAGCTGTTTCTAAGGGAAGATTGTTTTGTTCTAATTGCTTCCCAGAGACAGAATTCACCCCCAGGGCAGTGGAAGGTGGAACACAGCATGATTGACTAAGTTAAGTAAAATATACTGCAGAGCAGCCAGAAGAGGCCTTACGGAGAGACATTCAATGATTGTAAACAGTCATTGCAGGCAGCATACCAACTATCAGCACAGTAACCTCAAAAACCTTGAGGAATAATAGGTGAAGTATAAAACATTTAAATAAACACAAATGGGAGAAAGGGGAGGATAGCAGCTCTTCTCTTTCTCCTTTCAGGAGCCCAGAGTAAAGCAAAGCTCTCTGGGGAAGACCATTTAAAGTGATCAGACCACAGGTTTTCAAACCACCTCAGTTACTACTTCACTGTAATTTGCAAACATGGTGAGATGCTAGCCTTTTGACAAACATTACATCAAAATCCACAGATTTAATACTAAAAAATGAACAATACATGCTTTACCTCTTCAATCAATGTGCTGATTTCAGGAGCTGCCGTGTTTGCACGCTTTTTGAGCTGTCTCTTTGCTTTATTTACATCTTTCTCAACCCTTTTCCAGTCAACCTGTACATAGCCACTATGACTAGCGATCTAGAATAATAGGAAAAAGACAATGTAAGAACCAGAATATACAATAAATGTCTATAGTTAGCAAAAACCATTTGAGTGAGATGGCTACTATCAGATGAAGAACTATACTATTTGAAACCTTCTCTACAAACTTCAAATAAAAGTAGTTCTGTCAGAAGAGCTCAGTTTCCCCATTTTGTACTATGCATTCACCTAAATAACTCATGGATCAAATTATTTAAACATTTAATTTAAGATTGTAGGGACAAAAGAGAAGAAATATTTAAAAGTTAAAATTATCTCTGCGGGCTCTGTCCCCATCGCCTTTCAATTAAGCTACCTTTTTGTTCTTTAATAACACCAATCAGTTTTTGTTTACAGAATCCCAACTTTTTTTTACAAATGTATTTACTTATACTCTAAACATGCCTCCTTAGTGCTTAATTTTACCTCTGATGAAATAAGACATGAAAACTCTTAATGTTAAAAGTTATCTTTCCATGGTAACTACTTTCAAGATGTGTAACTAAAGACTATATTTATAAAAATGAACATAGGGGAATTTTCACTGAGCCTTTAATTTTAAAAATTGCCCACATTCTTTGATTTCTTTATATTCAACTTTAACATCTAATTACGGGTGATTCATTTAACAGACCTACAGCAGTAGGGGCAACTAAAGGAGTACTTCCCAAACATATTAATTTACTTGAATATAGAAAAGCCTTCCACCTCCCTTTATGGAAAAGGGAGTCTATATTAAAATTATAGGGTGGTTGTTGTTGTTTTTTAAAAAAAGAAAACACCTAAAATTAAAAAGTCTACATACTTGTAGCAAAAGAAAGCCACCGCCTACTGCAGTTGCTGCAAGCTTTCCAACCTTTTGGAATAAAAATCCTGCACACCTTAAAGAAAGGAGTGAAGCACACAGAGAAATTAAGTCAGCAAATTTATTAAGATTCATTAAACACTTTAATTCCAAGTAAACATACAAAAGATAAGGAAACCAGACCACTGATTGCTGGATTCCAGAATTCGAATTCAAACACTCAAAATCCAAATTTTAAGACTCCGTGATGTGACCTGTTGTTGGCAAGTTGCAAGAACAGGTAATATGGAATAATGCTCAGAACACAGATGGAACTGCAATGACTTCAGCATGCCTCATATCAAAAGGCAAGTCTTTGGTGATCTTTGTAAAGCAAGCAGTTAGAATCAATTTTCTTGAACACATATGTCTATACAACATTCAGTTATAGCATCTATTATCACAGTTGATGGACTGTGTTGGTAAGAATGTATGAGATTTTATGTATTTATTCACACACACAGCACTGCCACTATACACCTGATACTTTTATTTTGAACAAAGTCTTTCAGATGTTCACCTCCCTTAATATTCCTTGGTTAATGAAATATTTTTCTACAGTGCTGTCGAAATGAATAATCTTTAATAAGTAACTCTAACATATTTAGCATTTAGATCATTCTTCCTTTTCAGGGATTTGTAGAAAAGAAACCTGACAGCTTTCTGAAAGTTTAACAGCTTTCATTTTAAACTACAGGAACACTTTCAGTCTATTAAAAAGAACACAGGTTTGGTCCTGCCTTGCTTGGGCTATCTGGAAATTTCCAGAGGACTGCAGCAAGAGGCAACTGGAGGTCCTTGGATCAAGCCCAACAGTGTAAGCATGAGCATTAAAATATATGCAATATAAAAATGGCTGGCCCCTCTGCCAATCATGAAAGAAGCAAAACCAGGGCACCCACAAAGTAAAGGTTCACAGAACATATTTAAAGGACTCCTGGATATGCAGAAAAATACAACTTTCTAAAGTATCCAAAAGAAACAGAAACCCTTACAAACAGTCTGACGAGGGCTGAATATGCTCCTAAAGGGACAAAATGCTGGCATCAGTTATCAGGGGAAAGAGGTGGGAATCTGCTTGCTGAAGTCCATGAGAATGTACAAATTCTTGGACAGGCAGATATGGGGAGGAGTTACAAGGTGAGATTTCCAAACCACATCCCCACCCCAATATGATTTCTTGTGGCCCCTGGGTTTTTTGGGGCCATTAGGATGTGAAGCCTCCCTGTTGTTTCACCTGCTACTTTCTTAGAAAGCTGACAAATTATGATGCAATTCTTCACCATTTCCTGATCTTTAGTTATGGGGTGGGAACACCTTAGCCACAATGTTTGTAGCTAATAAAGTATGCATTTCTAATCTAGACCAGTCATCAACCCATTTTTCTCCTTACTTGGTAAGAGTTATTTTACTTCTTCTTCAAGGCATTTTGACAGCTACATGCAGGAAAAGTTTGGAAGTTACTACTATTAAGTAATACTTACTGCTATTTATAACTATTAAAGCTCTCTTCTGAAGTTTACAGAGAAATAATACAACCTTTAAAATATTCTTATTCAAAAAATGGATTACACTGTAAGATTTATGCGATCTGAAGAGAAACCAGAGTATTACATTAGAAGAATAAATACACATGACAATGTTTAAAAGCAATCTGTTCTTACCAGCCTGTTACACCGCCCATTACAATTTGAGTAGCTACAGAATACTTTTCTACGATAGGTCCCGAATTTCTTCCAAACACACGGTTCCACCAATGATGACGCCTTGCATATTCTGTTAAATCCAGTACTTCATATGAATCATCATCACTGTCATGTTCTTTAAAAGACAAACTAAGGATTAATCTACCCCTGAATGTTTAAATAAGAGACAATATACTGCAAATCGCAACAAATTTGTACAGACACAGTCAAACAAGCACATACAAATAACAGGTATCTGCAAAATCAGAAGCGTGTACAAAGAGTTGGCAAATGGGTACTCAGGAAGATATCTGCGCAAGGTTTTGGCACAAAGACAAATAAGATATAGATCGATACTGAACTCAAATTTTCACAATTTTCAGTTGCCTCTTGAGGTAATTTAAAAAAGAAAAAAGAAAAATTAAAGCTGAGGTTCTTACAATTTTAAGAGGAAGATCAAGCAATCCATGGTATGGTGAGGAACTTTCTGTTTCTAGAATTAGCAGCATATATTTTCTGTTCCAACATAATGAGTAAATATTTGCATACACGTAAAAGCCAAGATACACAAATAAATCACAATGAACATTTTCTTGATAGTGAGAATGTCAGCTTTTTCTTTTCTTTTTCTTTAGCTCTTTCTTTTGCTTCCTGTACAGGAAACATGCTTCTCAAATACGTCTGTATGAAACATTAGATGGATGACACCCATAGCATCCTGTCTCATCTCAAAGTCCCTGTAACTAACAGCATTATGGATTTAGATGTGGGCCCATTCTACTTTAAATATATGGTTTGCAGTATTTCTCTTCACAGCTGAAATGTCCTTGACTCCTATCTGAGTTGTTTAAAAATATTAATACAAAAAGGGTTATTCCTTTCATTCCAAAATGAAAATCTCCACTTTAGTAAACAACATTATTAAAGCTGTGGGTGTCTGTGAGAAAGAGGAATAGGGTAAGGTAGAAAAACATTTAATGCCTGTAGAAAGGAGAGTGAAGTGGTATTGCATATTGTGGGTGTGGAATACATTGTACTTATTTGAGTCATGCAACATACTGGAATGAAAATACACACATCAGGGGGGGAGAATCCCTACCCAGATCCCTACCCATATCGCCTGCTTATTGGACCCAACTATTAGTAAAGGACTTTCCCACTATAAAACAGGAAGCCTGTAGCACCTTAGAGACTAAAAAGTTATTCCAACATAAGCGTTCATCAGACAGAGTTCACTTGCAGTTTTACTTTGCTGCTACAGAGAAACAGATGCACCCATCTGGAATGATCATGGATGATATTCCCAAAATACTGTTGGATATTGTAATGCTGGATGCAAGAGGATCTGGGAGGGAAAGGGTTAAGAGAATTCTCACACTTTGGTACATTTGGCAGTTGGCCCCACGCTCTCATCAGTTAGATGCTGAGCCTCTTTGGCCGTTGACTGCTTTCTATTTTTCCTCTTATATAGGACCTCTCTTCTTCTTCTTACCTGGGCTTGAAGCTGTTGCAAGTTAACCCTTTTGAAGTTAATCTGTTTACAATGTTAAATGTACCTACATGAATATGTCATGTAAGATGTGCTTCAATGTTTGTAAGTAAAATTTCTTTCTCTTGTTACCACTGGAGTCAGATCATCTATGTAATTTGTTTGAACAGCATCGGTGGATTGGGGATACTGTGTAGAAGCTTCTGTGCTTCCAAGACAAAAGGGTTTTTTTAACAAGAAACCCAATATGTTACGGGCCCAGAGTCTATCAGAAACTTAGGTTAAGTTTAATGTTTAAAAAAGGATTTAAAGCCTTTGATTAGTAGATCCACTTTTTTTAATCTTTAAAAAATTTCCATTATTCTTCTCCATGTTGCTGTGATAAGGATGGCTGAATCAAGCAGACATTTGGAGTTCCCAAAACTTAATGCTGAGAACTAAAGAAGCTGGTTTAAAAGACTTAATACCGTATTACTCCTTGAAGCAAAAAGAGCTGCTGGAATCCTAGAGAAAGAAAAACCAACAGAGAAAGGCAAGGAACTGGACTCTTGGCTAATCAAAAATGGGATTGCCAAGAACATTATTATGGAATCATTGGATGACAGTGAGATTTTCATGTCTGAAAATTCCCAGACAGCAAAAGAAATGCTTAAGAGCCTAGAAGTCTTTTGCGTTTACTAGTATTAAATCACAAGAAGCATGGAGAAGAAAACGTTGCAAAACAAGGTTACATAACAGAGAAAATTGTGAAAAATATATATCCAAACTGAGGCAGGTGTTTGAAAATCTAGCAATCTGTGGCTTTAATCTAACTGATGAACAAAACGTAAATTTTATGATTGGGACTTCGGGGGAAGATTTTTCTGCATTTGTGAGTGTGTAAAGTCAAAAGAAAGATGCAAAAACTTTCAGTCAGGCACAAAAAGAACTGCAGAAGGAATGCTCAAAACATCTTACTGAATTTGAATCACTGAATGGCTCAAGTTATATTTCTAGAAAGAATTTGAAAGAGTAAGTCCCACCCAGAGAAAGGGAGAAAAAACAATTGCTGAGTTGCTTTAATTGCAACAAAAGGTGTCATTTTGCAAAAGACTGTAGAGAGCCACCAGCTAATGGTAGTTTTTCTAAGATGCACAGGAACAGCACATAAGTTACAAATAACAGAGAGGCAATTTTAAAAATCAAAAGCATGATGGTCCTAATGCAGCATACAAAAGATGCAAATACCAATTGACTAGAAAAGCCTTATTTATGATGATGCTGAATCAGAATCCAAAGAGAATAAGTGGCTAATAGTGGAGCATCCAGTCACAGCACACACTGCAAGGATTTCTTTGATGAACTTAATGAAAGTGAAAAAGGAGAAATAAAAATTGCTAATGGTGAATGCATACAGATCCAAGGCATAGGTACTGACACTTTATGTTGTAGCATACCACACAAAAATTTCCTAAAAGAAGTTGGAGATGTCCTATGTGTACCTGAATCAAGCTGTAATTTACTGAGTGTGTCTACATTAGACAATAAAAGCTTTGACATATGTTTTGGAAACAAGAAATGTACTATTAGCAAAGACAATGTTGTATATGCATAAGGTAACCAAAAGGGAAAAGTATATGAATTGAGTCTTGCAGGTGAAAAGGTACACCTGGCACATGAAAGAAAAGATGAAGAGAGCCTTGAACTGCAGCAAAGATGCCTAGGACATTGCAATCCAAAGGTAATCCTAGACTTCCAGAACAGGAACCTCACCAAAGGCATTAAGGTAAAGCTATGTGACATCAATGACATAAACAAATGTGCGTGCTGTAAAAGAGCAAAACGAATTAGACTCTCATTTCCATCCAGAAACAAGAAATGTAGTAGCAGGCCATTCAAATGAATTCAGTGATGACCTTGGACCAGTACATGAAATGGTGGAAACAGATATCTTTTAATCTTTCTGGATGATTTCTCAAGGTAGTCAGTTGCATATCTGTTGAGGCAAAAGAGTGAAGTCCACAAATTCCTCAAGAGATAGGTTGCTATAGTTTCTAACAAGTTTGGAAGAAAGCCTCAAATGCTACAGACAGATAATGGTGGTGAGTTTATATCACATCACACACAAACCTACTTGACAGAGGAAAGCATCCTGCCCAGGAAGTTGGTGAGCTTTACACCAGAGCAGAATGGCACTGCTGAAAGGAAACTGAGCTCTTTATTGGAAATGAGCGAATGCATGTTCATGGATACATGCCTACCCAGTAAATGGTGGGGCGAAGCAACAGACTGCCCACAAAAGAGAACACTCATACACCTTACCAAATATGGCATGTCAAGGTTCCAGATATGGAACACACTAGTGCAGGGATGTCAAACCTGTGTCCCGTGGGCCGAATCCAGCCCCCAAGCAGCTTCCTTCTTCTGCTTCCTTTCCCAGGGCTCCTGCTCCATCCGCACCCTAGCTTGCTTTTTCCCAGCTCTCTCAGTGGCTCTTTGCTTCCTGCCTCTTGCCTCCCCCCCCCCGATAGAGAGAACTTAGTGGATGCTTCATGCTAGAGAGATACAAAAGCAAGCCTCCCTCCCCCTCTCACTTGCTTGCTCTCTCTCACTCGCACACACAGACAGAGAGAGCCTCGTTGCTGCTTTGCCAGAGAGATAAAAAGACAAGCCTGCCTGTCTGCCCCCCCCCACTCTCTCTCTGTCTCACACACACACACTCACAGAGACAGAGAAAGATCGCTCCTGCTTTCTTCTCTGGGGCTGCTACTTCTCTTTTTTGGGGGTGGGGGAAGGAAAGAGACAGAGAGTAAACAAAATGGAGTCCCAACTTTAAGACCAACAATGTTTTATTCCAGGTATAAGCTTTTATATGCAAAAGCACACTTCTTTGGAGGGAGGGTAGGTGGATGGATACTTCTGACAAGCACAATGTACATTGAGGAAATTATTTTGGCTTATTTTGAAAAGTTGTTTTTTAAAGAAAAAAACGACTGAATTTCTCTGTCCTATCTGGATTTATTTATTTTTTCAAAAAAGACCATGATTAGGAATAAGAACACTTGGATTTGTCCTTATATCTTGGAGAGTGGAGTGATTTCAGATGCCAAATGATAATAGCACACATTGGTAATGAGACAGGAAAACTAGGTCTCAATTCAGTCCAGGAGGATGCAATTCAGCAGTCTATGTCTAATCTCCCTTCGAAATTCCTTGGTAAGACCACTGCACCTCTTAGGTCAGCAACTGAATGTTGTGGTTTCTAATGTCATACTTAGGTCCATTTATTCTTTGCATCCTCCTGGACTGAATCCTCCTGGATGGAACTGAGATCTAGGTTTCCTATCTCATTACGAATGCTGATATCGCCACACCTACTTCCCCTCTGCATATCACACCTAATCCAATCATGTCTGCTATTGCCATTAGCCATCTGAAATCATCTTTATAAAGTTTATATCTCTGGTACCTCGTGTTACATTTTACAGCATGCATGGCCCGGCCCAACAAAGTTACATTTATGTCAGATCCAGCCCTCATAACAAATGAGTTCAACACCTCTGAGAGTATTTGGCAGCAACCCAAGGAGAAAATACTAAAACTAGATCCCAGAACCACAGAAAGTGTTTTTGTGGGAAATAAGGGGTACAGAATGCTGTACCCAGAAACAGGTGCAGTCTTTGTTGGGCATGTGACTCACTTTGACAAAAGTAGAGCTAGTACAGAAGGGACTGCATCATGTGATTCAGCAAAGGCAGATGACCAGTATTAGCTCTTGGACCTTGAACCAGTGCACAACGATGAAAAATCAGAACAAGACACACAACCTGAGAAGGCAGATTCCAAAGCAATCATGCCAGAGATACAGAGCAGTACAACACAGGAAGAAGCAAGTGAGAATGAGAAGACAGGTGGACTGGACAGCTCTGTGACAGCAGATGAAAACCCAGAACCACACCTCCAATGCTCACTGCAACCAAACAAAGGCATATGCTCGTCCTACCTCACAAGGATGGTTTTACCGTCTGAACCTTCTACCTGGAAGGAAGCAGAACAGATGCCACCAACCGAAGCCAATAAGGGGGAAAAGGCAGTGCAAGAGAAGACTGATGCTCTACACAAAAATAAAACATGGACCTTGACGAAGCTAACACCAGGAAAGAATTTTATTGGATGCAAGTGGGTGTTTAAGGTCAAACAAAATGCAGAAGGAAACCTGGAACAGTACAAAACAAGATTAGTTGCTATAGGCTTCTCACAATAATATAGTTAGGACTCTGATAAAACCTTTGCACCGGTGGTGAAATGTAGTTCAATCAGATTACTTTTGAGCATAGCAGCATCCAAGAAGATGCAGGTCAAACATCTAGATGTAAAGACAGCATTTATTCATGGACAGATCCAGGAAGATCAGTACATGGAGCAGCCAGAAGGTTTTCTAGACCCCAAACACCCAAATTTAGTCTGCAAACAGCATAAGGGGCTGTATGAACTAAAACAGGAAGCACGTGCCTGGAATGGAAAATTACACACAATGCTCATAGTGCAAGGCTTCAAGCAAGGAGGAGCAGATTCATGTCTGTACACTGAACACAAAGATTAATATTGTACTTTTATTCTCACATATGTTGATATAACTTGATTCTGGGTTATGACCAGCAAATGGACTAGAACAGTGTGGTAAAGTGCCTAAACAGAGAAGTAGAAATTAAGGAGCTAGGAGATGTTTCTTACCACCTGGGCATACAAACTGAAAAGTAGGAAAATAATTCATTTGTCCTAAACCAAAGACAGAAAATAATTGAACTCTTATAGACATTACGTCTAGAAAATGCAAACATAGTGGCAACACCTATGGAAACTGACTTTCTTAAGTACACAAAAATAAGTGAGCCTTTACCTAAAGACAATCAGTACACAAATGCCAGAGGAAAACTTCTATACCTAGCAGACCCAATATTGCAACCAGTGTTGGGATCCTTAGTAGAAAGACATATGCACCTAGCAAGAAAGAGTGGGTTGCAGTAAAAAGGGTGGCTAGATATCTAAAAGGCACTTTAGATTTGAAACTAAAATGGCCATCTACCAGTAATCCAAAATTAGTTGGTTACAAGGATGCAAATTGGTAGGAAGCGGCTTAGACTATAAATCCACAGGTGGGACTTGTTCCTCTATTGAGGTGGACTAATCTACTGGGCCAATAGAAAGCAAATTATAGGAATTTTGCCTTCCGCAGAGTCTGAATATATAGCATTTGTTGAAGCCTGCAAAGAACTGTTGTGGTTAGACCAGGTCTTTGGAGTTGATGAGCAAAAGCCAGTTCAACTTAAAGAAGACAACCAGAGCTGACAACCAGAGCTGCATTAAGATTTCTCAATCAGAAAAAATCACTGCACACACTAAGCACATTGGTGTGAAGTTTCACATAGTGTGCAACGTAACTGAGAAGGGCATAATAGAGATGGAGTGCTGTTCCATAGAAGAGATGGTGGCTGACGTCCTGACCAAGCCTCTATCAAGAGATAGATTTGAAAAACTACAAGAAAAGCTGAAATGTGAGAAATCTTGCATGCAACATAAAGAAGGGGTGTTGGATATTGTAACTGCATGCAAGAGGATCTGAGAGGAAAAGGGTGAAGAGAATTCTCACTCAGGTGCACTTGGCCCCATCCTCTTATCCATTAGATGTTGAGCCTCTTTGGCTGTTGACTGCTTTGTTTTTCATCTTATGTAGGAACTCTCTTCTTTCTCTCACCTGGGCTTGGAACTGTAGCAAGTTAACCTATTTAAAGTTAATCTGTTCACAATAAGTTAAATGTACCTACATGAATATGTCATGTAAGATGTGTTTCTGTTTTTGTAAGTAAATTTTCTTTCTCTTGTTACCACTGAAGTCAGATCAGCTTTGTAATTTGTTTGAACAGCATTTTCCCTTAACCAGAAAATGTGGAGGATCAGGGATAATAAGGAAAGCTTCTGTGCTTACATAGCTCATTAATATTTTTCTTACATTAAACCCAGTGCTGTATGTGAGGCATCTGCCAACCTACCTGTACAATTCAGAATGGAATAACGACTCACTAAGATAGTTGGGAGCCCACCTTCAACAAAAGTAGTAAAAGTGGGAGAAAATCCTACCCTTTACAATCCTTAACTTATGACTGCAAATATTTAAAGCGTGTCAAGGGACAACTCTACACTGAAGTCACCCTTCTGACTAACGCATACTAAAGATTGTCACTCAAGTGACTCAAGAGCCTGCTTGGGGCACTAAAGCAATGATATGGCTTGCACCTCACATCACCCCCTACCATTTGACCAAGGTCAAAGGCAGCGCACACAAGGGCTGCCTCTGGAGTCCACATTGCACCCGTGCTACTGCTTCCAAGATCCAAAGTGGGCTGCAGAGGTGCCCCAAGCCCACCTTGGACTCAGCAGGTATAACACAGGATGGAACATGCCCCTCTGCTCTTCTGTTGCCGCTGCCTGGCCCAGGTACTAGGAGAGGCAGCAGATGTGCTGCCTTTGAACTTGCCTTGGACACAACCAGATTGACACGGGAGGAGGCTGCTCAGGTGGTAAAAAACCTTGAGCCACCCTTTAAATGGGAGCCCGTAGGGTAGCTGAATTAGTGCGTTTACAGCAAAAACAAAGAGGCATCTAGCAGCACCTGAAGGGCAATTAAATCAATATACCTCAAAGATACCACCAGATCCTTTTTTGAATTGGCATTAAAAAAAAGACGCCACCACCCAAAAATGATTTGGGAATAGAGAAAGAAAGGCCAGAGTTCCTGTCAATTGCTTTTGCAGGCAAATGGGACATCATCCTGCCCAAAAATCTTACCCTCTTCATGGCAATACTGCAGGGGCCAAACGCATACCTCCTGGAGAGCAATCCCAGGGATGCTTTAAATTCAGAAGGAAGCACCACTGAGGTCAGCGGCCCTTACGTCCTAGTGAGTATTTTTAAGGACTGCGCCCCCCCCCCCCTGGGCCCACAGAAAATGTCCACTCTGTCCCTCCCATTAATAAGCCTGCCCTCCACACTTCCCGAGCTATGCTCTCCCCACCCCCACCAGGCGACAGCTGACAGCTCTGGGCAAGCGCCGCCTACTCTGGAGGCGCGCCCATCCGACCGGGGCTCTGAAATACCCGGACGAGAGGGGAGCTAAGCGCACAAATGGGGCGGGCCCCCAGGAAATTTTATCTTAAACTCGGTCGGTTCCTGCATTTCCTCTGCGCTCTAAACTCAAGAGGAGCGACAGGCCAGCTCGGCGCCGGGAAGTTATAATCACAGTGAAGCAGGGCACTACTGGAGGAAATGAGGCTCTCACTGACCTGAGGCGGAGCGAGATCTCCGAGACGCCATGTTGGCAAGCGCCAGTGGGGGAGGGGAGGCAGCTGCCGCGCTGCTCCGCCCACCGGCCGCTCCGCACCCCTCCCCAGACTCCGCGCTCTCGAAGTCCTCGAGCGAAACCCAGGAGTGCGCGTGCGCAAAAATGAAGACCCCCCCCCTCCCCCCGGCTCTCGCTACACTCCGGTGAAAAGCTTTTGATCTCGGCTCCCTCTTGGTGCGAGGATTGACGTCACCACAAAGGCTTTATCCTGGGGAATTATGGGAATCGTAGTTTTGACTGCTCATTCAACTCGAGCCGTGGCGTCATTTTAGGTGGAATACTTCCGTCGGGGATAAATGAAGACGTTTTGGGAGTTGCCACTATCCGTTACGGATTTAGATCTTCCAAAACTGATGCTCACCTCTTAGGAGGCTTTCAAGGAAGAAAAGGCTCTGCATCCCGCTAGTTTTTACCGGAATTATATTTCGGACACAAAGTTAGAAAAAAAGAAAACCCTCCAAGAAAACCCCCATAAACCACACGCGAGAAGTCATTCTGGCTCCCCCAGCTGCCCTTGTTGTTGTTGTTCAGTCGCACAGTCGAGTCCGACTCTTCGTGACCCCATGGACCAGTTCACGCCAAGGCCTTCCTGTCTTCCGCCCAGCTCTGGTTAGGGGCTCTTTAAAAGGTTATGACCTCCGATGCTGGCGGCAGCTGCAGGGGGGGGGGGTGCGAAACGTTCACCGCCTCCCTGAGCACTGAGGTGGTGGCCTTGGACTCCTAGGGGCAAATTCCACCTCTCGCATCACACACCATCCGTCTCCCCCAGCTCTCGTTAGGGGCTCTGCAACGGCCGCGGGGAGCAGGCGCAAAACGTCCCCCTTGGGGTTTGGGGAGGGGAGGGAGTTCAGTGTGGGGTATAATGCCATAATGCCCACCCTACAAAGAGGCGATTTGCTAATCTCTGTTGCCTGGAGATCCATTGTAAACCCAGTTTGGTGAAGTAGTTAGGAGCGGAGAGTCTAATCTGGGGAAACCGGGTTTGATTCCCCACTTCTTCACCACATGTGGCTGCTGGTGTGACCTTGGGTCAGTCACAAGCTTTCTCAGAGCTGTTCTCTCAAAAGCAGTTCTCGAAACACGTTGATGGGGTCTGAACTGGCAGAGCTCTCTCAGCCCCACGACCTCATAGGGTGTCTGTTGTGGGGAGGGGGAAGGAAAATTGTAAGCTGCTCTGAGACTCCAAATGAAGGGCGAGATATAAATCCAATCTCTTCTTCTTCTTCTGTGGTGGCAGCTGCTGCCAAAGCAATGTTTTTTAAAAATCCGCACAGCCGAACAGCTCTCCAGTGGCCAATCAGAAGGCTTTCTACTTGGCACAGACCTGCAACCAAGCCAACGCTGGTTCTGCCTGCTGCTCTTGTGGGTCTAGTATCAAGGCTCCAGTTCTGAAACGGACAGCAGAAATAAGAACATAAGAGATGCCAATGTTGGATCAGGCCAAAGGCCCATCCAGTCTAACACTCTGTATCACACAGTGGCCAGAAATACCAGTGCCATCAGGAGGTCCACCAGTGGGGCGGGCCAGGACATTAGAAGCCCTCCCACTGTTGACCCCCCCCAAGCACCAAGATGACAGAGCATCACTTGCCCCAGAGTCCCTATCTATACCTTGTGGCTAATAGCCACTGATGGACCTCTGCTCCATATGCTCATCTAATTCCCTTTTGAAGCCGGAAGTGCTTGTAGCCGCCACCACTTCCTATGGCAGTGAATTCCATGTGTTAATCACTCTTTGGGTGAATAAGTACTTCCTTTTATCCGTTCTAACCCGACCGCTCAGCAATTTCATGGAGTGCCCACGAGTTCTTGTATTGTGAGAAAGGGAGAAAAGTACCTCTTTCTCTACCTGCTCTTTCCCATGCATAATCTTATAAACCTCAATCATGTCACCCCTCAGTCGTCGTTTCTCCAAGCTAAAGAGCCCTAAGCGCCTTAACCTTTCCTCATAGGGAAAGTGTTCCAACCCGTTTATCATTCGAGTTGCCCTTTTCTGCACTTTTTCCAAAACTATAATATCCTTTTTAAGGTGTGGTGACCAGGATTGCACACAGTATTCCAGATGAGGTCGCACCATTGATTTATATAGGGGCATTATGATATTGGCTGATCTGTTTTCAATACCCTTCCTAATAATCCCCAGCATAGCATTGGCCTTCTTTATTGCAGTCACACACTGTCTCGACATTTTCAGTGAGTTATCTACTACAACTCCAAGATCTCTCTCTTGATCAGTCTCTGCCAGTTCAGACCCCATCAACGTGTATTTATATTTAGGATTTTTGGCTCCAATGTGCATCACCTTGCACTTGGCCACATTGAACCCCATTTGCCATGTTGACGCCCACTTGCCCATCCTTGACAGATCCCTTTGGAGTGCCTCACAATTCTCACTGGTTTTCACCATCCTGAACAACTTCGTATCATCCGCAAATTTAGCCACTTCACTGCTTACTCCCAACCCGTTGACCCAACAAATGCATCAGTCAATTGTTTGTCCCAGCGGTGAGGGGAAGAGTGGCGAGTTTCAGAGTGACTGGGGGGGCTGTCGGGCCAAGAAGTGGGGCATCGCCTCCTCCTGCAGTTGCTCTGACCAGGATCGCGGCGCGGGGGCCCTCTTGGGGCCCCCAAAGGTAGACATAGCATCAGCGAAGTCTGGGAATGGTTCCAGCTCGCCCATCCCACCTGCCACTCTGGAGGGACCGAAACAGGGGGACGTACTAAAACTAAGGACAGCGATTGCCCATAGGGAATAAATGAGTGCCCATAGGGAATAATGGAGAGTAGGCTTGCCTTGCCAATAGAGAATCCATAATTGCCAATAGAGAATCCATGACTGCCCATAGGGAATAATGGAGAAGATGCTTGCCCAGAGGGGATAGTGCAGTACATGATTGCCAATAGGGAATCCATAATTGCCAATAGAGAATGCATGATTGCTCAGTGGGAGTAACGGAGAGTAAGCTTGCCCAGATGGGACAGTGCAGTACATAATTGCCAACAGAGGATCCATTATTGCCAATAGAGAATCCTATTGGGTGTTGTAAATAAGAAGCGGGAGACTGACCAGTTATGAAGGTGCACAGAGAGTTTATATAGTTATAAATATATACAGAGATATTTACAGGCTATTGAACAGCATGTTGTGCCTTAGTCTATGAGAACTAAGTCCCCATCCATCTTACTAAAATGATAGCTATTATGCTAAACCCCAGCCAATCTCTAACAGGGTGATGTAATCACTAACTCTAATAAGCCCTGTAAGAGCAACACCTGCTAGAAAACACCTGGCTGTAATTACATGATTACTAGCATGACAGCTAGGTCTGACAAACAGCTCAAACTATCTATAGTAACTGCTTGCTACCTCTATCACTCTGACATATATCTCAATAAATCCATGATTGCCCATAGGGGATAATGGAGAGCAGATCATACCTGACTATAGGGTATACTGGAGTCCACGCTTCCCACAATAAATAAGGGAGACCACATGTGGACATGGGAAATAAGGGAAACCACGCTTGTCCAGAGGGAATAGGGAGACCACATGTGCCCATAGGGAATAAAGGCGAACATGTTTGCCCACAGAGGATATTGGGGTTCATGCTTGCCCAAAAGGAATAATACAGACCACACTTCCCCATAGGGAAAACTGAGCCAATGCTTGCCATAGAGATTAAGAGAGAACACGCTTGCCCATAGGGGATAATAGAGACAATGCTAGCAGCATAGGGAATAATGGTGTCCTCGCTTGCCCACATAAGACAATGGAGTTCACGCTTGCCCATAGAGAATAATGGAGACTACGCTTGCCAATAGGGAATAATGGAAAGCACATTTGCCCATAGGGAATGATGGAGACTACATTTGTGCATGAAGACTAATGGAGACCACGATTGCTCATAGGGAATAATGGAAAGCACGCTTGCCCATAAGGAATAATGGAAAGTACGCTTGCCAATAAGGAATAATGGAAAGTACTCTTGCCCATAGGGAATAATGGAAAGCACGCTTGCCCATAGGGAATAATGGAGAACACGCTTGCCCATAGAGAACAATGGAAAGCACACTTGCCCTTGGAGAACAATGCAAAGCAGACTTGCCCATAGAGAATAATGGAGACCATGCTTGCCCTTAGGGAATAAAGGAGTGTACGCTTGCCCATAGGGAATAATGGGAACCACGCTTGCCCATAAGGAACAATGGAGACTACGCTTGCCCATAGGGAATAATGGAGACCACGCTTGACCATAGGGAATAATGGAAACCACGCTTGCCCATGGGGATTAATGGAGACTACCCTTGCCCATACAGAATACTGAAAAGCACACTTGCCCATAGGGTTTAATGGAAACCACGTTTGCCCATAGGGAATAATGGAAAGCACACTTGCCCATAGGAAATAATGGAAAGCACGCTTGCCCATAGGGAATAATGGAGACTACGCTTTCCAATAGGGATTAATAGAAACCACGCTTGCCGATTGGGAATAATGGAAAGCACGCTTGCCCATAGAGATTAATGGAAAGCACGCTTGCCCATGGGGAATAATGAAAACCACGCTTGCCCATATGGAATAATGGAGACTACCCTTGCCCATACAGAATAATGGAAATCACACTTGTGTAGACTTGGGGGGATTAATGGAAACTATGTTTGCCCATGGGGAAGAATGGAAAGCACACTTGCCCATAAGGAATAATGGAGACTATGCTTGCCCATAGAGAATAATGGAAAGCACGCTTGCCCATTGAGGATAATGGGGACTACCCTTGCCCGTAGGGAATAATAGAAAGCACGCTTGCCCATAGGGAATAAAGGAGAGCACACTTGCCCATAGAGAATAACGGAGGGTACGCTTGCCAATAGAGAACAATGGAGACTACGCTCGCCCATAGGGAATAATGGAGACCATGCTTGCCTATAGGGAATAATGGAAACCACGCTTGCCCATAGAGATTAATGGAAAGCACGCTTGCCCATAGGGATTAATGGAAACCACGTTTGCCCATAGGGAATAATGGAAAGCACGCTTGCCCATGGGGAATAATGGAAAGCACGCTTGCCCATAGGGCATAATGGAAAGCACGTTCGCCCGTTGAGGATAATGGAGACTACGCTTGCCCATAGGGAATAATGGAAAGCATGCTTACCCACAGGG